TCAAGAGACTCACCTAACACATAAGGACTCACATAAACTCAAGGTAAAGGAGTGGAAAAAGACATTTCATGCAAATGGGCACCAAAAGCGCGCAGGAGTTATTCTCATATCAGACAAAACAACCTTTAACAAAACAGCAGTTAAAAAAGACAAAGAGGGACATTATATAATGACAAAAGGCCTTGTCCAACAAAAAAATATCACAGTCCTAAACACATATGCACCTAACACTGGAGCTCCCAAATTTATAAAACAATTACTAACAGACCTAAGAAATAAGATAAACAACAACACAATAACAGTGGGGAACTACAATACTCCACTGACAGCACTAAACAGATCATCAAGACAGAAAATCAACAAAGAAACAACGGATTTAAAGTATACCCTGGAACACATGAACTTAACAGATATATACAGAACATTCTATCCAACAACCGCAGAATATACATTCTATTCAACAGGCGCCTGGAACTTTCTCCAAGACAGACCATATGAGAAGACCAAAAAACGAGCCTCAATAAATTTAAGAAAACTGAAATTATTATTATGATTATTTTATTTTTTGAAATGGAATCTTGCTCTGTCACCCAGGCTGGAGTGCAGTAGCATGATCTTGGTTCACTGCAACCTCTACCTCCCAGGTTCAAGTGATTCTCCTGCCTCAGTCTCCCAAGTAGCTGGGATTACAGGCATGTGCCACCAGTTAATTTTTTTGTATTTTTAGTAGAGACAGGGTTTCACCATGTTAGCCAGGCTGGTCTTGAACTCCAGACCTCAGGTGATCTGCCCACCTTGGCCTCCCAAAGTGCTGGGATTACAGGTGTGAGCCACCACGCCTGGCCTAGAAAGCTGAAATTATATCAAGCACTCTCTCAGACCACAGTGGAATAAAACTGGAAATCAACTCTAAAAGGAACCTTCAAAACCATGCAAATACATGGAAATTAAATAACCAGCTACTGAATGATCATTGGGTCAAAAATGAAATCAAGATGGAAATTTAAAAATTTTTTGAACTGCGTGACAACAGTGACACAACCTATCAAAACCTCTGGGATACAGCAAAGGCAATGCTAAGAGAAAAGTTCATAGCCCTAAACACCTACATCAAAAAGTCTAAAAGAGCACAGACAGACAATCTAAGGTCACACCTCAAGGAACTAGAGAAATAAGAACAAACCAAACTCAAATCCAGCAGAAGAAAAGAAATAACCAACATCACAGCAGAACTAGATGAAACTGAAACAAAACAATACAAAAGATAAATGAAACAAAAAGCTGGTTCTTTGAAAAGCAAATAAAATTGATAGACTATAAGTAAGACTAATCAAGAAAAGAGAGAAAATCCAAATAAGCTCAGTAAGAAATGAAACAGGAGATACTACGACTGACATCACTGAAATACAAAAGATCATTTAAGGCTTCTATGAACACCATTACACATATAAACTAGAAAACCTAGAAGAGATGGATAAATTTCTGGAAAGATACAACCCTCCTAGCTTAAATCAGGAAGAATCAGATACCCTGAACAGACCAGTAACAAGCAGTGAGATTGAAACTGTAATTTAGGCCGGGCGTGGTGGCTCAAGCCTGTAATCCCAGCACTTTGGGAGGCCGAGACGGGCGGATCACGAGGTCAGGAGATCGAGACCGTCCTGGCTAACACGGTGAAACCCCGTCTCTACTAAAAAATACAAAAAACTAGCCGGGCGAGGTGGCGGGCGCCTGTAGTCCCAGCTACTCGGGAGGCTGAGGCAGGAGAATGGCGTAAACCCGGGAGGCGGAGCTTGCAGTGAGCTGAGATCCGGCCACTGCACTCCAGCCTGGGCGACAGAGCGAGACAACGTCTCAAAAAAAAAAAAAAAAAGAAATTGTAATTTAAAAATTATCAGCACCAAAAAGTCCAGGACCAGACGGATTCACAGCAGAATTCTACCAGACATTCAAAGAAGAATTGGTACCAATCCTACTGACATTATTCTACAAGATAGAGAAAGAGGGAACCCTCCCTAAGTCATTCTATGAAGCCAGTATCACCCTAATACCAAAAGCAGGAAGGGATATAACCAAAAAAGAAAACTGCAGACCAAAAATCCCTGATGAACATAGATGCTAAAATTCTTAACAAATACTAGCTAACTGAATCCAACAACATATCAAAAAGATAATCCACCATCATCAGGTGGGTTTCATACCAGGTATGCAGGAATGGTTTAATATGCACAAGTCAATAAATGTGATACACCACAAAAACAGAATTAAAAACAAAAATCACATGATCATCTCAACAGATGCAGAAAAAGCATTCAACAAAATCCAGCATCCTTTCTGATTAAAACTCTCAGCAAAATCGGCATACAAGGGACATACCTCAGTGGAATAAAAGCCATCTATGACAAACCCACAGCCAGCATAATACTGAACGGGGAAAAGTTGAAAGCATTCCCTCTGAGAACCAGAACAAAACAAGGACGCTCATTCTCACCACTCCTTTTCAACATAGTACTGGAAGTGCTAGCCAGAGCAATCAGACAAGAGACAGAAATAAAGGGCATCCAAATTGGTAAAGAGGAAGTCAAATTGTCTCTGTTTGCTGATGATAATGATTGTATACCTAGAAGACTCTAAAAATTCCTCCAGAAAGCTCCTTGAACTCATCAAATAATTCAGTAAAGTTTTCAGATAAAAAATTAATGTGCACAAATCAGTTGCTCTTCTATACACCAACAGCAACCAAGCTGAGAATCAAATCAAGAACTCAAACCCTTTTATCATAGATGCAAAAATAAAATAAAATAACTTAGGGATGGGCCGGGTGCAGTGGCTCATGCCTGTAATCCCAGCGCTTTGGGACGCTGAGGTGGGCGGATCACCTGAGGTCAGGAGTTTGAGATCAGCCTGGCTAACATGGTGAAATCCCGTCTCGACTAAAAATACAAAATTAGCTGGGTGTGGTGGTGAGCACCTGTAATCCCATCTACTCAGGAGGCTGAAACAGGAGAATCGCTTGAACCCAGGAGGCAGAGGTTGCAGTGAGCTGAGATCACGCCACTGAAATCACTCCAGCCTGGGTGACAGAGTGAGACTCCATCTCCAAAATAAATAAATAAATAAATAAAACTTAGGTATATACCTAACCAAGGAGGGGAAAGATCTCTACAAGAACTACTACAAAACACTGCTGAAAGAAATCATAGACAACACAAACAAATGGAAACACATCCCATGCTCATGGATGGATAAAATCAATATTGTGAAAATGACCATACTCCCAAAAGGAATCTACATGTTCAATTCAATTCCCAGAAAAATATCACCATCATTCTTCACAGAATTAGAAAAAACAATCCCAAAATTCATATGGAACCAAAAAAGAGCCCACATAGCCAAAGCAAGACTAAGCAAAAAGAACAAATCTGGAGGCATCACATTACCTGATTTCAAACTATATTATAAGGCCATAGTCACAAAAACAGTATGGTACTGGTATAAAAATAGGCACATAGACCAATGGAACAGAATAGAGAACCCAGAAATAAACCCAAATACATACAGCCAACTGATCTTTGACAAAGCAAACAAAAACATAAAGTAGGGAAAGGACACCCTTTTCAACAAAATGGTGCTGTGATAATTGGCAAGCCACATGTATGAGAATGAAACTGGATCCTCATCCCTCACCTGATACAAAAATCAACTCAAGACGGATGAAGGACTTAAATCTAAGACCTGAAACTATAAAAATTCTAGAAGATAGGCCGGGCACGGTGGCTCACACCTGTAATCCCAGCACTTTGGGAGGCCAAGGTGGACAGATCACCTGAGATCAGGAGTTCAAGACCAGCCTGACCTAGAGGGAGAAACCCCATCTCTATTAAAAATACAAAAAAATTAGCCAGGCATGGTGGCACATGCCTGTAATCCCAGCAACTCGGGAGGCCAAGGCAGAAGAATCGCTTGAACCCGGGAGGTGGAGTTTGTGGTGAGCCGAGATCGCGCCATTGCACTCCAGCCTGGGCAACAACAGCAAAACTCCACTTCAAAAAAAAAAAAAAAAAAAAAAAACTCTAGAAGATAACATTGGAAAAACCCTTCTAGACATTGGCTTAGGCAAGGATTTCATGACCCAAAAACAAATGCAATAAAAACAAAGATAAATAGCTAGGAGTTAATTAAACTAAAGATCTTTTGCATGACAAAAGGAACAGTCAGCAGAGTAAATAGACATCCCACAGAGTGGGCAAAAACCTTAGAAATCTATACATCCGACAAAGGACTAATATCCAGAATTTACAACGAACTCAATTCAGCAAGAAAAAAAAAATCCCATCCAAAAGTGGGCTAAGGACATGAATAGACAAGTCTCAAAAGAAGATATACAAATGGCCAACAAACATGCAAAAATGTTCAACATCACTAATGATCAGGGGAATGCAAATCAAAATCTCTGATCTGCAAAGCCCTTGATCCTAACCAATAATTACAAAACAGCCTGATGATCCATCTCCATAGAGGGGGCAGGCACCTACATTTCCTGACAGCCATGTTCCTTCTTGCTAGATGTCTTCCTTACTATCCACAGTTTACTACCTGATCTTCTAGGTTTATCAAGAGAGGAACCTAGGATGACATGTTCTCCTCTCCCCATCAGACTCTTTCAAACCAAAGCAGTACTTTGGGGAAAAGCATTGTTAACTGATTGCTGGATCATATGGTAGTTCTACTTTTAATTTTGTGAGGATCTACAAACATTTTTAAAATGAAAAAACTAGACAAATAATTTAATCCCAAGGTCACAAAGCACAGAAGTCACAAACCTGTGACAGCACACCTTCCATCATACCACACAGCCTTCCTACCCCAAGGCATGATCAAAATATGCCCTAGAATATAATAAAAATCAATATACAGTATGTATAAATAAATATGCACTGCAAATACAACAGAAATAATACTTGGAAATGGACGTGGGTTGTTTAAATGTATCATATTACCTATTATGCCGAAATTCATCACTGCTTCCTTCGGAAGTATCACTGAGTCCCATAGAGTATTCTTGGGAAAATAAATAAGTGAAATTCATGAGCGCAAAACATATACTTCCATAAAAATGATCTCTAAAGGCTTAGTTCTAACCAAGAATCATTACCTCAGCATTGTCTATATAAAAAGTGACACTCTGACTTCCCAGGTTGAAGTCGATCCAAAATTTCTCTAATTTTTCATCCGCTGGTTTTCTCATCTGTAAGAGATCATTTCAGCATGAATTATACACATAAAAATCATGCTATAGGGTCAGATAAACATTATTCCCTTGAAAACAGAATTTGTGCTTTTCCTGGAACAGCATTCTCCTAGCATTATAGGGCCTCTCTTTATTGACTGACTCTTTTGTGCAAAACAGAAGGATCTCAGTTTTATGGAACTTGGCCATTTCTCCTCACCCCTCCAAAAATCCCACTATCCGTAGCATATTTAATAGATATTTAAATATGTCACATGATTCTAGCTACACAATTTTTTTCTAATGAAAATCACAGAGAAAACAGTTCTATGTTGAATCAGTAACAATCCACACTGCATATGGATGGAAACTTCCAGAGAAGGAGATACTGTAACCAAACATGAGTGATTTGCCATCTATCTTCCATTAGAGTAGAGCTAAAACGTGAAGACTTCAAATTTCCTTCATTTTAATGATGCTAAAATAAATAGATGTTTATAGTTAAAACAGGGGAAGAAAGATTCTAACAGTATGGTGTTTATAGAAACAGTAAACATCTTCTCTGCCCCTCAGCTTTTCGTAAGTACCTTTCCATAGGCACCATTAACAATGCCTTTGTTTCCTTCCAGATGTTTCCTAGACATACATCAACAAGTATAGGCTAGGCACAGTGGCTCTCGCCTGTAATCCCAGCACTTTGGGAGGCTGACGCAGGCGGATCACAAGGTCAGAAGATTGAGACCATCCTGGCTAACACAGTGAAACCCCGTCTCTACTAAAAATACAAAAAAATTAGCCAGGCATGGTGGCAGGCGCCTGTAGTCCCAGCTACTCAGGAGGCTGAGTCAGGAGAATGGTGTGAACCCGGGAGGCAGAGCTTGCAGTGATCTGAGATCACACGACGGCACTCCAGCCTGGGCGACAGAGCGAGACTCTGTCTCAAAAAAAAAAAAAAAAAAGAAGTATATAGAAAGATTTTATTCCCCAACAATAGATAAAACACTAGACTTACTATTCTACAATCCAATTTTCCAATACGTTGTATTTCTTGGACATCTTTCCTTTCTATAGTACATGTCTACCTTTTAACAGCTACAGAGGTGAATGAGGGCTTTCACCCACAATACATGTTCCTGGAAGCCAGTGTAAGGGTCAGGGTAAGGGCCCTGATGGAAGGGAATGGAAATTTGGATGTCGCAGAAAGAAGAAAAACCAAACAGAGCAGAATCGTCAGACAACCGGAGGGAAAATAAACAGAATCAGCCTACCAGACTCAGTTCTAGAGAGAAGGAATGTGTAGTGTAGCCATGAGTTGCAAGTTTAGCTCAGAGAGGCCAAGAAGGGGACTCTGAACCCAAAACAAAGAAATGATGAATGAGGACATTCTGAAGACAGGGTCCAGGACACTCAAACAAAGTCAAGGTTCCAAGACCTCTAAATATTTTAACCTGAAACTGAGATGCTGTAGGTTGCGGCCCTTTTATATGAAGGACCTTGTTCCTCTAGAAACCAAATGGGGGGTGGGGAAGAAACTGGTCAACCTTGGACTATAAAGTGCAAGGCAGAATGAGAGAGAGAGAAAGGACAGTGGCCCCAGTGGTTGAGAATAAGAGGGTGGGGCATAAGATGGAAGGAGAGAAGCAAGGAAATCATTCTTTTTACCCCAGTCTAGGCATGAATTAGGTTACCCATGAACAGGGTAAAATGAGGCAAGCTTCCTGTAACTGTCCTCATGTACACAGTACAGACCCTAAAATTCCTTTTTCCCATAGTAATAGTAGAGCCCTTAAACTTACTGGTAATGCATTCTGGTTAGGGTATGGTATGATCAGTTTGAGAATTTAGGTCATTAGGAGAAGTTGGCATCCTTTTTTAAAAAGCCCTTTTGAGTTATGAGAACAAAAGTTTGACCTAACCATATAAACCTAACTCCTGGTTTCACTGCACACCACCCTCAGACCTCCAAGAGAGATGAACATACCTCATGCTCATCAGCAAAAGCAGCAACACACGGAAATGAATACACCCTGCAAAACATCTCACAATTAAAAAATAAAATATGAATGAACCTTAAATACATCTACAGACGTTCCGCAACAAGCACGTATAACTAGAGTATGCATTAAGTCTCCTCGTACAGAGTACGATAAGGGGGTTAAGTCTGCAAATGGAGACCTACTATGGGTAGATTTCAAATCTCCATCTGGCAGTCAGTAAACCAGGTTTATTAGTACTATATCTCAACCCAGTTACTCAGCCAGATTCCCAAACAAAAGGAGTGAATTTAGCAAATATTGTCTGACCAAGGACTTAACTGTTCATGATACAACTAACTCCAGCAACTTCAAGTCAGGAAATTGTTTTTAATAAAATCTATGAACTCTTTAAAGAATGTATTATTTTAAAATACCCCAAGTCACAAATATAATAAAACTGATAGAGATAATTTTTAAACACACTCCAACAAGCCACTAGGCAGAAAGGGTCTGATCTTCTCAGGTTTCTACTCAATGGACAACTCAATATGTTCTGTAAAGATGTACCCAATATTCTCTCCCAAAATGAAACAGATCCTAAACTGCTCTTTTAAAACATTAGACATTTTCAGAACACAACTAGTCCATAATGCTCAGAGACACAACTTACCTTCTTTGGTCACCGAGTCTGTCGTTTAGGTGATTGAGAAAACGTCTACTGTCCTTCAAAGCAAATGATATAAACTCTTTTATTAAAAAAAAATCAAGATGTCTTGGTCAATACTATCTTAGCAAACAGAGGCCAGTGTTGCTTCTAAATGACCAGGATGCAGTAACATCAATGAGGCTTTATAAGGATTCGTTACTATATGTTAACAATACTTCATGCCACAGAGAGGAGGCTCCGGGATCATGTTTCTAGAAGGAACCTTTGCTCCCTGCAGCCATTAGATTTTCAGCTGAGGAATACTTAGGTCTCCAAAAGTTAAATGCCTGGTTATGTTTCACTGGATCAGAAGTGTAAGCAAGAGAAATACATCTTACTGATGACCTAGGTTACAATATTTGATCAACCCATTGGGCATCCACCTCCCTAACACCTGCACAGCACAAACCAACCACAAACCTATAAAATTTATCAACTTTGGGTTGATCTGGGTGTATTATCTATGGCCAATTTTCCTTTTTGGGAGTTCTCTATCTCACTCTCTTCTCCTAGCATATGTTCTAAGAACAAAGACTATTATTAGAGTTTACCTAACCAACAGCTCTCAGGAAGAAATTTGTTGCCCCACATTCTAAAAACAAAGACACAGATCCAAGATTTTGTTCCCTTTTGTTAGCAAGGATTGGCTATTGTAGTCAACACTCCTTATGCTCCTGATCTACCATTCAGCAGTAATTAGACATCAGCAGTGTAAGCCTTTCATGTAAAAAAGCAATTCGGGCTGGGTGCGGTGGCTCTCATCTGTAATCCCAGCACTTTGGGAGGCTGAGGCAGGCAGATCATCTGAGGTTGGGAGTTGGAGACCAGCCTGACTAACATGGAGAAACCCATCTCTACTAAAAATACAAAATTAGCCGGGAGTGGTGGCACATGCCTGTAATCCCAGCTACTCGGGAGGCTGAGGCAGGAGAATCGCTTGAACCCAGGAGGCGGAGGTTGTGGTGAGCCGAGATCGCACCTTTGCACTCCAGCCTGGGCAACAAGAGCAAAACTCTGCCTCAAAAAAAAAACACATACACAATTCAATTGAGAAACTGATAGCTCTGGGGAAGGAAATGATTTTGGAATCAATATAATTACATTTCTCTCTTTTCATCAAATTTTCCTGCAAATGAGAAATGACAAAGAGCAGAAAGGAAATTAACACATGAGTGCCTACAATAGCCCTGGACCTTTCAGTTTCTCTCACTGAATTCTCAAGACTGAGGTGGGCTTTAGTCTCATTTTACAGATGAGGTCACTCAGGCTTCACAAGTCAACTACCTTGCCAAAATGCATACATCCCATAAATTGGAGAGGTGGGACTCAAACTCTAGGTTCAACCCAGTTTGGGATAGACCCAAAGCTCATGGTCTTTCCACTGAGATTATACTGAATCCTGGCTAAATAATTACTATATGCAGTATATGACAGTAGGTTCAGAGTCTGAGGAAATATAAAGGTCCATGTTTAATAAAAATCCTGAGACGGGTGGATCACGAGGTCAGGAGATCGAGACCATCCTGGTGAACACAGTGAAACCCCGTCTCTACTAAAACTACAAAAAACTAGCCGGGCGAGGTGGCGGGCGCCTGTAGTCCCAGCTACTCGGGAGGCTGAGGCAGGAGAATGGCGTGAACCCGGGAGGCGGAGCTTGCAGTGAGCCGAGATCGCGCCACTGCACTCCAGCCTGGGCGACTAAGCGAGACTCTGTCTCAAAATAAATAAATAAATAAATAAATAAATAAATAAATAAATATTGGCTAAACAGAAATTCGCATGACCAGGAATCTCACCGTCTCAAATTCTCGATCCTTAATTTCTTTGAAACCTTCGGCAATGACTTCATCATCAAACCATTTATGGACAAGTTCCTCCCTTGAATTTCTAATCGTCAGTCTACACAGCGCTTCAGAAATAGCAACCTGCTGGTCATAATCTAGAGATTAAAAACATGGTAGACACAGATAATTCTGGGCACAAAGCAAAAGAAAAAACAAGTTCCAGAGCTAGCACTTGCTCTAAGAAACTCCATCTGAGAAGCCTAGCATTACGTCTTAGTTACCACGGCAAGATGCATCCTGGAGTAATCAGAATCATTTAAATTCTTTTTTTTTTTTTTTTTTGAGATAGTCTTACTTTGTCACCCTGGAGTGCAGTGGTGGCTGGAGTACAGTGACCCGATCTCAACTCACTGCAATCTTCGCCTCCTGGATTCAAGTGATTCTCCTGCCTCAGCCTCCCAAGAAGCTGGGATTACAGGCATGTGTCACCATGCCTTGCTAATCTTTATATTTTCAGTAGAGATAAGGTTTTGCCATGTTGGCCAGGCTGGTCTTGAACTTCTGGGTTCAAGCGATCTGCCCACCTCGGCCTCCCAAAGTGCCAGGATTGTAGGCATGAGCCACCACACCTTGCCAAAATCATGTAAATTCAGTATTTAAGAAATAAAATAAAAATCTAAATAAGAGGTTGGTATATAACAATTTTTAAATAAATAATATTTATGGGTATTATATTTTAGATATATTAAAATACTCATCCAAAGCAAATCATCAAACAGCCTTAAAAATGTTTCTACTGGCCAGGCGTGGTGGCTCATGCCTGTAATCCCAGCACTTTGGGAGGCCAAGGCAGGCAGATCACCTGAGGTCAGGAGTTCGAGACTAGCCTGGCCAACGTGGTGAAACCCCATCTCTACTAAAAATACAAAAATCAGCTGGGCATGGTGGTACATGCCTGTAGTCCCAGCTATTCAGGAGGCTGAGGCAGGAGAATCGCTTGAACCCAGGAGGCGGAGGTTGCAGTGAGCCAAGATCATGCCGTTGTACTCCTGCCTGGGCAATAAGAGCAAAATTCCATTAAAAAAAAAAAAAAAAAGTTTCTACTACAAAATAAAATCCCAAAATAACTTGTAGTATTTCACAGCGAATAAACTAAAACTACATGTAGTAACATGTTTAAATTACAAACAATTCTAAGGGTAAAAAGGGAGCTGTAGCCCAAGGAATGGCATTTATAGGATGCTTTTAAAATCTACAAAATGATAATGCATGTTGTTTAGGGATCTACAGAGTAAAAACAGAAAAATATGCTTGGGAATGAAAAACAAATCTGAGTCAAGGAGAAGGAAATGGGATGAGGAACATGGACACAGGGGACTTTATCCATGACACCTTTTTTTTTTTTTCTTTAAAAACAGACTTGAAGCTAATGTGGTAAAATGCTAAATTTTGACGAAGCTGGCTGGTAGTAAACGAGTATTCACGAATTATTCTTTACAGTTTTCAGCATGCTAAAATCTCTCAAAATAAATTTAAAATAAAACCCTAATTCCTATCTTCAATTTAACCATAATTTATTCCCCATGGTCCCAAGATGCTCATAAAACCCCCAGTGTCCAATATTTAATATTCTAATACTGAAAATTCTAAAATTTCTTACCACCCACAGTCCAGAGTGTCCTTGCAAGGTCTTTCCTGAAACATTTAGATAAATCACATTTAACTGAAGTGAACATCAAGAGGTGATACTTTACTATACTGGCATTAAACTTTAAAACCAAAATATGTTTCTGAAACTATTTCAAATTCGGCATCAGAATTTCCTTAATGTCAATAATACATATTTATGGAAAAACCTTCTCAAGTTTATATATTAATGACCTAGATGTTATTTTTTAAGAAGCTAGAACTACTATATACACTCTGAGGTTCTATTTTCCCTCTTGTAAAGTGAATTCCATTTGATGATCTCTAAGGGTTCATCAAATTAATTCCGGAGTTTTATAATCACCGCACCAACCTGTGAGGGCGTATGTCCTTTTACACAGTTTGATACCTGCAGGAAATGATACAGACAGTGATTCTTTCCTATGAGCTGCTTGATCTGATTTTAAAAACTAATTTAGGCTGAGCACGGTGGCTCATGCCTGTAATCCAAGAATTTTGGGAGGCCTAGATGCACAGATCACCTGAGGTTGGGAGTTCGAGACCAGCCTGACCAACATGGAGAAACTCCATGTGTACTAAAAACACAAAACTAGCCGGGTATGGTGGCACATGCCTGTATTCCCAGCTACTCGGGAGGATGAGGCAGGAGAATCGCTTGAACCCAGGAGGCGGAGGTTGCAGTGAGCTGAGAGCGTGCCATTGCACTCCAGCCTGGGCAATAAGAGTGAAACTCCATCTTAAAAAACAAAACAAAACAAAACAAAAAACAAATTAATTTAGAGATGTAATAGGATTAAGCTATTACATTATTAAAACTAATGCAGACTCTCGAATTGTACATTATTCACTCAGAATTTCAAATAAATGCTAACAAGTGTGAGTTGATCTTTTTTTTTTTTTTTTTTTTTTTTTGAGACTGAGTCTGGCTTTGTCACCCAGGCTGGAGTGCAGCAGCACGATCTTGACTCACTGCAACCTCTGCCTCCCAGGGTCAAGCAATTCTGTCTCAGCCTTCCAAGTAGCTGGCATTACAGGTGCCCGCCACACCCAGCTAATGCTTTCTATTTTTAATAGAGACGAGGCTTCACCATGTTGGTCAGGCTGGTCTCGAACTCCTGACCTCAAGTGATCCACCCACCTCAGCCTCCCAAAGTGCTGGGATTACAGGTGTGAGCCACCATGCCCGGCCAAGTCGATCTTTTAATGCCTGAAATAACTCCCATTTTAAAGAATAGATTTGTTGAGAAACCTTGTAAGAAGTAGATCGACTTGTTACTATTAAATAGAAACCAGGAAACAGTACCACTGAGCAAAATTAATTCTGCTTAATTTTATATTGCAGGTTTTACCTTTGAAGTCCAGAACACTCCAGACTTTCTAGAACACACAGACAATAAGGTAGTGTGTTCAAAGATTAGTTTGAAAACTTAGGAGAAAACATGAGATCAGCTGCTCCCCAAATCTAAATACACCACTAAGAGTAGTGATTTCACTAATGTATTAAATAAAAATGTGTTTAGGAAAAATTCAGTGTAAAAACTATATCCTGCAAAGACTAAATGGACAACCACGATGACAGTGAGTTTCATGCTCACAAATCACCTATTTCAGGCCCCACACTGTGGCCACACACCACGTAAATAATGTGCCACAATGATGTCCTCATGCTGGCTGGTGGTTAGCGCAGTCACAGGTTCCGGTTCCAACTTCAAAACAGGGTGCTGGTTTTGTTGTTTCTATGGTCACACATTACAACCTTACCTCCAAATCTCACATCCCAAGAACTATGCAACAGTGGCTTTGGGTCACCAAAAAACAAAATATCCATCACGTGAAAAGCAATCAAAATTCCATCTCACATTAGTGTAGCTACCTTGGGGCACTTCTTCTTTAGCAGATAATGTGCTAATCACTTTACATGGATTGCTTGATTTAACCTTTACAATAATTCTGTCAAGTAGGTATTACTTTGACTCCATTTTACAGGCAAACAAACTGAGATATGATGAAGTCAGGGCTGTGCTCATAGACAACGGGCAAAAGTGGCAAAACTCAGATTTGAAACCAAGCAGGCTCTATGGTCTATACTCTTAACATTCTCCCCTGAGTCACGAATTTAGTTCACATTTACAATGAAAAACTAGAGCCTGAGAAAGCATTTTGCATCAATGTTGATGCAAAAAGAAAAAAAAAACTTCATAATTATTAAAAAGGAAAAATCTAGCAATTTTTTTTTTTTTTTTTTTTTTTTGAGAGGGAGTCTCGCTCTGTCGCCCAGACTGGAGTACAGTGGCCGGATCTCGGCTCACTGCAAGCTCCGCCTCCCGGGTTCACGCCATTCTCCTGCCTCAGCCTCCCGAGTAGCTGGGACTACAGGCGCCCACCACCTCGCCCGGCTAGTTTTTTTTTGTATTTTTTTAGTAGAGACGGGGTTTCACCGTGTTAGCCAGGATGGTCTCGATCTCCCGACCTCGTGATCCGCCCGTCTCGGCCTCCCAAAGTGCTGGGATTACAGGCTTGAGCCACCGCGCTCGGCCTTTTTTTTTTTTTTTTTTTTGAGACGGAGTCTCGCTCCGTGGCCCAGGCTGCAGTGCAGTGCTGCAATTTTGGCTCACTGCAACCTCCACCTCCCGGGTTCAAGTGATCCTCCTACCTCAGCCTCCCGAATAGCTGGGACTATAGGTGCGTGCCACCATGCCCAGCTAATTTTTTGTATTTTTGGTGGAGATGGGGTTTCTTTTTTTTTTTTAATTATTATTTTGAGACGGAGTCTCGCTCTGTTGCCCTCAGGCTGGAGCGCAGTGGCATGATCTTGGCTCATGGCAAGCTCCACCTCCTGGGTTCACGCCATTCTCCTGCCTCAGCCTGCCAAGTAGCTGGGACTACAGGCGCCCGCCACCATGCCCGGCTAATTTTTTTTATTTTTAGTGGAGACGGGGTTTCACCGTGTTAGCCAGGACGATCTGGATCTCCTGACCTCGTGATCCACCCGCCTCGGTCTCCCAAAGTGCTGGGATTACAGGCCTGAGCCACCGCGCCCGGCCGAGATGGGGTTTCACCATGTTAGCCAGGATGGTCTGGATCTCCTGACCTTGTGATCTGCCTGCCTTGATTTCCCAAAGTGCTGGGATTACAGGCATGAGCTACCGCGCCCGGCTGCAATGTCTTCTTTTTACCTCAGCCTCTTTATCACCTAGCATAGTGCCTGACTCATAACAGGTGCACAAAGCATTTACCAAAGAGAGAAAGGACGTAATCAGGTCTAAGCAGAACACAGACTGAAGCCGTACAGTCATGAGAGGTTTTACCCTTACTACAGCACGTAACTTACACAAAGTCACTTACATAAGCTGACACATGCGTTCTGACAAAGGGAATTTTTTTCTTTCTTCCCGAGGGACAGCGTCCAAAATGCAGTTAAAAGTCTTCAAGCCCTTTTGGGAATTGAGAAGACATTCATGGAGAAGAAACAAAACAGAGACCTATGTACGATCTTCTCCAAGGTTTCTGGAGCCGCTGGTATCTATTTTGTTATTTGCAACTTACCTCCCGTTGAATCAAATGATCTACAGTCTTTTCTGTCACCAGGAATCCTAAGCTAAGTAGGAAGGAATCCAACATCTGAATTTTCCCTGAAAGTATAATTTCAAAGACTCAATTTTATGTTTGAAAGAGTAAGAAAATGACTCCTACACACAGTCAGAGCCTTTCACTGAGGGTGCCTTTCTGGGTTTTCTACAATATAACTCACTTTGCAGCCTGTGCCCCTTACAATCCTGTTGCTTTGTCTTCTGGTATCAAGGGTTGTGAGCAGGTGCACACATTCATATACGAGTTTATTTTACATGGTTCTTGGTGACTTATTTTGAAACTAAATCTTACTTTATCTCAGGAAAATTAATTCTTTGATACTTTTATTACAGTAGACTTTCTCAACTTTGGCAATATTGATATTTCAAGCCAGGTAATTCTTCTTCTAAGAAGAACTTGAGAACTGCTGTCAAAATGCAGGGGGAAAAATGAGTGAGGAAAAGATGCACATGAAGATAAAAACAAAGATGTGACAGATAATCTTACAAAGAGGGAACAGAAAGTAAATGTAATGGACTTTTTGGTGGTCTCTCCACCATCCTTCCCCATTCCTCTGTTATGGAGCAGTTGTGCTATTTGGGTGAGACCGATCAGTTCCAGGGGTAAATCCGGACTGGCTTAAACTAGGCAGAGGTGGCCCATTTATCTTTTCATAGTGACTGGTTCATCTGGAGGGCAGGGCACCCAATCAGAGCAAAGCTAGGGCTTTTGTTTGCTGGTTGAGGAAAGGGAACCTTTCTCCCCCAGATGTGAACCAGGAAGCACAAAGTTCTCGTTGCAACCAACAAGGGAAACCACCTTGAGAGCAAAGACTAGACTCTGAGAAAGGCAGAACTGAAAGGGCTATAGAGAAATGGAGTGGAGCCACTCTATTTCCAAACTGCCCACCTCTGGACTCTTCAGTCCCTTCAGCCAGTAAGTTGTCTTTATCATTTAAGCCTATTTGAGCTAGATATTCTGTTAAATACACCCAAAGCACTCTACCTCAGTAGTTGATGACTACAGATGATTTTGCCCCACGGGGGATGTGTGGAGATGTTTTTGGTTGTCATGACTTGGGGATGGATGCTGTTGGCATCTAGAGGGTAGAGGACAGGGATGCCGCCAAACACCCTTTGATGTGCAGGATAGCACCCAGGACAAAGGACTACCCAGTCCAAAATATCTATATTGCCAAAATTGAGAAACTCTGCTGTAATAAAATTATCAAAGAACAAATTTTCCTGAGCTAAAGTAACATTTGGATTCAAAATAAGTCACCAAGAACCATGTAAAATAAACGTGCTTTCAACCCTTAATATCAGAAGATAATGCAACAGGATTGTAAGGGGCACAGCATGCAAAGTGACAGTAATATTGTATAAAAGCCAGAAAGACATCTTCAAACGATGAAAAGCTCTGACCACGTCCTTTCCACAGGCTAATACTCTTACATTTCTTTAACACATTAAATTTATTGTCATATACAAAGAAGAAGAAATAAGGTACCATCCTTTTGATGTAATTAAATTAAGGGTAACTAACAGTAAAACAAAACTAGGACATAAGTCATTCAAATCAGTAGAGAGGGATAAACTGTGAAAGAAAGCCATAATCCATATAGCAGAACACAAACAAAAGAGTCATAAAAATAAATAAGAAGACATAAGTTTCAGAACAAAAAAGAAGGAGTGATTAATGTTGTCAACTGCAGAAGGAGGTGGGAAGAAATTCAGTGAAAACATCTTTCTACTTTGGAGAGAAGGATTAGACATTAACTCTGCAGAGCCTGGGCATAAAACTCACACAAGACAACTGTCGAAGGCCACACGTGAAAACATGTCACTTGCAGAGAGGCCAGTCCTGCTAAGGTGACCACAGTGGGCTCCAAGCACGGATTGCCATTGCTATAGATGGGACTGTGTCCCCCCCAAAATTCATATGTTGGAGCCTTAACCCTCAATGTGATGGTATTTGAGATGCAGCCTTTGGTAAGGGAAGTTCAGATGAGGTCACGAGTGTGGGATCCTCATGATGGGATGAGTGCCCTTATAAGAGCTTGGTCCAGGTGCGGTGGCTCATGCCTGTAATCCTAGCACTTTGGAAGGCCAAGGTGGTTGGATCACACGGGGTCAGGAGTTCAAGACCAGCCTGGCCAAAATAGTGAAACCCCACCTCTACTAAAAATACAAAATTAGCCAGGCGTGGTGGCACACGCTTGTAATGCCAGCTACTCAGGAGGCTGAGGCAGGAGAATTGCTTGAAACCGGGAGGCAGAGGTTGCAGTGAGCTGAGAACATGCCACTGCACTCCAGTCTGAGCAACGGTGCGAGACTCTGTCTCGGGGAAAAAAAAAAAAAAAGAAAACAAAAAGAAAACAAAAAGAAAGAGCTCTGGCTCTCTGTCCACCTTGTAAGCACACAGCAGGAAGCCAGGTCTCTGCCTACCACGTAGGCACACAGCAAGAAGTCAGAAAGAGGCCATCACCAGAATCCAATCATGCTGGTACCCTAATCTGTTACTCCCAGCCTCCAGAGATAAATGTCTGTTGGCTTAGCCTCCCAATTGATGGCATTTTGTTATGGCGGCCTAATTGGACTAACACAGTCATCTAGAACAATGTTTCCTCTACCGGGGCAATGAAAGTCATTATAGCATTATGTGAATCCATAAATGCCCCAAGCGATGACCATAGAGTGAACATATAGCTCACATATGCATTGTTTTTCAAATATGCAGTATATACATACTGTTGGGATTAATACAAAGCAAGTTTATTTTAAAATGTTACAAAAATCAAAGTAGTTTTTTACCACTGTGCATTTTATCAACCAGTTTTAAAGGCAGTAACTATCATTGTGATGATCATAAAACTTTGACTTGAAAATGTTTGGAACCACTGACTTGAATTATGAGGACCAACCAAGTCAACCAAGTTTTAAAGTCAACCAAGTCCAGTGCATGCTTCAGCTTCTGGTACTGCATTTCCTCAGCTACCAGATACCATCCATTGCAGAATATAGTGTCAGTTGATGATAGCCTTTCAGAAGAAAACTAAAAACATGTAACATAGGAAAATGACATATCAAGATGGCTCCAATTTCCAAAATGTTTAAATATTTAAGTGCATCTTTGAATCCATGGTATCATAATTCAAATGTCAAATTACTTTTTTTTGAGACAGGATCTCACTGTCACCCAGGCTGGAGTGGAGTGGCACAATCATGACTCACTGCAGGCTCAAACTCTGGGGCTCCAGTGATCCTCCCACCTCACCCTCCCAAGTAGCTGAGACTACTGGTGCACGCCACCACACCCCGATAATTTTTTTATTTCTTGTAGAGATGGGGGTCTCACTATGTTGCCCAGGCTGGTGTCGAACTTCTGGATGCAATCAGGTCTGCCTCTTCAGCCTCTGAAAGTGCTGGAATTACAGGCATGAGCCACCACACCCAGCATAACTACCTTTAACTTGAGTTAAATGGAACAAAATCAAGCTATCCTCCAAAGTTTCTAAAATTTTACCTTTTACACTCTTGAAAGACAGAGAAAGGCATCTGAATCAGCTTCAAGCTAAATCAGTAGTAGCTAAATTTTTGCATATTTGAATGACAAAAGTGGCTTTCTATTACCTGAACAGAGCTAGCCATATGTCAGGAGCAGCTAAACAAAACTGTTTCTCAGACAAATACAAGACTTTTTTCTACAATGAAATACATTTCCAAATGACACCATGATGACCATAAGGTGGTCAATAAATCCAAATAAAATGTTTAAACTTACTTTACCTTTACATATCATTTAAATATTCTTTTCTCTGTGCCAGAATATTCTATTAATGAAAAATTAACAGCCAATTAGTAGCCAATAATATACTTACCTTCACTACTACTCCTGGAAATAATCTAACAAAAAGAAAGAAAAAGTAAAGCTCATATTATTTTTAAACAGCATGATAAACTATAACACAAATGTATTAGTGTTAATTGTCTCTAACAGGCAGGCATTGACTTTACAGAAGGATTTTAGAGAAAGCCTATCTGAGCCTTAATCACATCCTTAAAATGTGCATATCACTCTCAATCAGGTGACTAATATATTTGTATATATGATAATAAATCACCTCTCATTTTTAACATTGGTTATATAGTTTCTTACTATGTCACATATTAATAATATTCTAATAATAATACATGAGAGTCTTTTGTTTTAAGACAGAGTTTCACTCTTGTTTCCCAGGCTGAAGTACAATCCCGTGGTCCCGGCTCACTATAACCTCCGCCTCCCAGGTTCAAGTGATTCTCCTGCCTCAGCCTCCCAAATAGCTGAAATTACAGGCGCCTATCACCACACCCAGTAAATTTCTGTATTTTAGTAGAGACGGGTTTCACCATGTTGGCCAGGCTGGTCTCGACCTCCTGACTTCAGGTGATCCACTCACCTCGGCCTCCCAAAGTGTTGGGATTACAGGCGTGAGCCATCGCGCCCAGCCACGTCAGTCTTTTAACAAAACTTACATATTTAGAAAACCATGTTTTATAAATAACTTGAAGATTCCTGCCAATTACCAATGGCATCTGCTCAGTGAAGCATCCATCCCATCCTTACCAACGCAGTGTCAAAGAAGTCCTCTGTAACACGAATCAGCGATGTGTCTGAGGCTAGGCCTTCCGAGGTCAGAATTCCCGTTGTTCTTTCAAACCAGGAAACTAGGTACACAGGAGGACACTCATGTAACTACATATGACTAAATGCTGCCTATTCAATAAAATTTCACAGGACAATTTTCTCATTACAACAAAATCATCTGAAAGATCTTTTCCCATTCCATTCCATTTCAATGAGGCCTGGCTCTGAGACCTCCCACCGGAACACTTCACGATGGTGCCATACCACTACAGAGCTGTCATAAGTAAGCTCTCAGAGATCAGCACAAAATAGAGTGCCAGCCAGGATCTGTGTCAGAAAGCCGTATAAAGGGACTAGTGAGGAGCATTTAAGACATAAATGAGGCCAGGCGCAGTGGCTCACGCCTGTAATCCCAGCACTTTGGGAGGCCGAGGCAGGTGGATCACTTGAGGCCAGGAGTTCAAGACCAGCCTGGGAAAGATGGTTAAACTTCATCTCTATAAAAAATATAAAAATTAGCTGGGTGTGGTGGTGCACACCTCTAGTCCTAGCTACTTGGGAGACTGAGGTGTGAGGATCACTTGAGTCCAGAAGGTCAACACTATAGCAAGCGCTGTGATCACACCACTACACTCCAGCCTGGGCAACAGAGCGAGACCCCACCTCCAAAAAAAAAAGATAAGTGAACCTCCTCAGCACAGGGGGAAAAAAAATCTTGTGATCTAAGAATCTGCTGAAAACAAACTATCAAAGAATATATAGAATTTGGAAAGTTCTCAGAAGTATTCTTGGTTATAGTAAATATGCCTCAGGCCTAGGTATCTTTCTTTTGTTAAAAAGCTTCCAGCTAATTAGAGAATTTTTTCCTATAGGAATATATATCCAATTTCATATTAAACTGCTGGAATTGGTATGATTTAAAATAAACTTCTGTAACCTTTCCTCCCCCACCCCAGAATATACGGTGTTTCCTCCATAAAGCAAAAACCATCTTATTTTTCCCATGATTTTTGCTGAGACTCGTCACTCTTAGAAAAATAAATAAAAATAAGAAAAACCCCGCGTGCATAGTTAGAAATCATCAGCTGAACATGACATCAGTCACGTGAGTTTCTGATGAACAACTCTTGCAGGAGTCAGGCCTTCAAAACTCTGTACGCTTTGGGCCAAGAACCTGACTCACTCCAGCTGAAGATCAATAAACCAGTTTTCAACCTTGGCTGTACATTAGGAAAACCTGGAGAGTCAGGAAACATCCCCCAGACCCAGTAATCAGAATCACTGGTGATATACCCCCACCTGAGTTTTCTATTTTAGGTTTAAGAATGTTTGTGAGAGCTCTCCAGGTGACTGTCATGTCCAGCCAGGTTTGAAAGCCATTACTATGTTCCAAGTAAGGTTTCTTTTGTCTCAAATCGGACAAATACTTGCACTAGATTGAATCATCCACCTGCTGAAGAAAGCTTTTCTCCAATAGCACAAGAGAAGAAATGTCTCTCTGTGTAGCAGAACTAACTGGTAAGGCTATATTTTCTCCCTCCCTAAGTTCATACTTAAAATTCTATGCTTTTCAAATACATTTTTGTCACCACTCCATCCCTCCAAAGCCTATCGCACTCCCAGCACCCTCCCAAATACGCTGGTTGAGTAGATACAGAAATGGCAGAAAGGCTGCACTCTCTGATCAATACTTGGCAACAGGAAGTTCTCACTGAACCCATTTATACACCCTGGTCACACATTGTCTAACAGACATCCCAGCTCTCCCCACAGTTGTATCACTACCAGAAGCCAGACACAATAGCCATGACTTCTTAGGAATATGGTATCAGACAAGTTGCTTAATCCTCCTGGATTTTACAGTGCAGGACTAAAGATGTTCCTTTCTATAGGGCTTTTTTTTTTTTTTTTTTTTTTGAGACAGGGTCTCACTCTGTGCCCAGACTGGAGTGCAGTAGCACCATCTTGGCTCACCACAACCTCCAGCTTAAGCAATTCCCCTTCCTCAGCTTCCCAAGTACCTGGGATTACAGGCATGAGCCACCACTGCCCAGCTAATTTCTGTATTTTTAATAGAGACAGGGTGTCACCATGTTGGCAAGGCTGGTCTCAAACCCCTGACTTCAGGCGATCCACCTGCCTCAACCTCCCAAAGCGCTGGGATTACAGGCGGGAGTCACCGTGCCATGAATTCTTATTCTATGGAGTAGAAGAACTTCCAAGCACACTTTGTGTTGAGTTTGCAAACACAATTGTCTTTAGAAGTATAGAGTTGGTCGGGCGCGGTGGCTCACACCTATAATCCCAGCACTTTGGGAGGCCGAGGCAGGCGAATCATCTGAGGTCAGGAGTTCAAGATGTGGGATATGATGAGGTTTCTGTTCAAATAATCTGATCAATCTTTTATTATTTAATTCATAGCACCCTCCCCCCCCTTTTTTTCTCCTTCTTTCTCCTTTTTGCCTTTGTTAGATGCCCAGGCACACCACAGTACCAGGCGTTATCAGTACCAGCTCACATTCCTTGCCTTATTTGAAAAGAGGACTAACTTTCTAGCTCATTACAGACACCCCTTCCCCTTCCTCTCCACTTTCTTTTACGTGCCCACCCTATCTAAAAAAAAAAAAAAAAAAAATCAAATGTTTAGCCAGCCGGGATTAGTTTAGATTGTACGACCCGACCCTGGCCAATGGGGAAAAGGTACACGGGCAGGGCTTGCGTCAGCAATAAAGGCTCTCATGCCCCTTTGTTGAGGTGTGCTCTCATGGCAACTGGCCAAGGAGGCACCCCCCTGCGCAGAAGTAAAATTGCTTTGCTAAGAATCCTTTGTTTGAGTGTTCAATTTCCTTAGAAATTTGAGCGTTATTCCCAACAGAGACAAGTCTGACCAATGTGGTGAAACCCCATCTTTACTAAAAATACAAAAAAATTAGCCGGGTGTGGTGGCACACACCTGTAATCTCAGCTACTTGGGAGGCTGAGGCAGAAGAATTGCTTGAACCTGGGAGACGGAGGTTGCAGTGAGCCAACATCGCCCCTGCACTCCAGCCTGGATGACAGAGCGAGACTCTGTCTCAAAAAAAAAAAAAAAAAAGAAAGAAAGAAAGAAAGAAAAGAAAGAAAGAAACAAGTATAGAGTCTAAGCTGGGCATAGGGGCTCATGCTTGTAATCCTAGCACTTTGGGAGGCCAAGGTGGGTAGATCACTTGAGGTCAAGAGTTCAAGACCAGCCTGGCCAACATGGTAAAACCCTGTCTCTACTAAAAATACAAAAATTAGCTGGGCATGGTGGTGTGTGCCTGTAATCCCAGCTACTCAGGAGGCTGAGACAGGAGAATCACTTGAGCCCAGGAGGCAGAGGTTGAAGTGAGCTGAGATCGTACTACTACACTCCAGACTGGGTGACAAAATTAAGACCCTGTCTCAAAAAAAAAAAAAAAAAAAAAAAAAAAAAGAAAAGAAAAGAAAAAGAAAAAAGAAAGAAAGAAAAAAAAGAGGTATAGAGTCTAGTATCCCATTCTCTTTGATAATGTTGATCTATTCTTGCCAAAACCTATATGAAATAACGTATCTAAATAATGGTTATGAAATTTCCATCACCAACTAGGATGCCAATGGAATATAGAAACTCCTACTTGATTTCAAAACTCCAGTGGGGATTTGATCTGACACTTTTTTAAACCTTGGGAGGGAATTCTTAAACCTAAATAGAAAAGTTAGGGTGGGGCATATTCCAATTCATATCCCAAAAGGTCAGCTTAGGGTTCCAAGGTATACTTAGAACATCTCTGCTTCATTTCCTTTGAGATTTTATTTCCTTTTCCCTGCTTCCTGTTATCTGCATAAGTTAGTGTGTCAGCAGGTCAAGTGGGGTTACATGCAAAATGAAATATATACGGTCTGCATAAGCACAGTCTTTAATTCCCCCTGCAAACACTTCTGAAGTCCCTAAGAGGAGTTTGGGAAAGCCTGGAGTTTGCTTTTTCTCCTGAAGGGGTAGCTTCAGAATCAGATGCATTTTAGAGTAACAAAGGGCAAAGACAGATCTTGGCCCAATCTGGCCTTAATAAACTTCAGGTACTAGAACTCAAGGTGTAAATCAAAGACATTATTAGCAGTCAGATCATCCTTCTACCTTACTTCTTCCCCACATCTCCTCACCAATAAACAAACTTGTCTCTGGGTTGCAAAAACCTCACCATTAAAAGAGAGGAGCTACAGCAAGAGATGTTGCAGATTCTGCTTTGCTTCCAGATGCCGTTACAAAGGCACTCACTGTGTTATCTCCTGGTTAATATTTTTAAAAGAATAAAATGTGATAATTTGGGTAACTTTGAATAAGCAAAAATGTTTTTGCTATTGGTTTTTTCAGATTCATCCAAGGTTTAGAAAACAGGAAAAGTGACGTGTTACAAGAGCAAAGAAAAGTTTTCGATGATCATTTTTCTAGGTCTAATCTTGTTAATAAAGTCTATTAAAATAGTTCTAGAGCCTACTCCTACTCATTTTCCCCCAAATTCACTAAAATAATTTAAAATAATAATCACTGCATAGGCTCATCAAGAGGAGTGGTTGTGTCTGACTCGATCCCGTGCACTTCCAAAGTGCCTTGCATAGCAAGTACATCAGGAAATGTATGTTGAATTTAATTTTTTATTAGAAATAAGCAATAAGAATGGATATCAATTTCTTTTCAAATTGGATTTCAAAGGAACAGAAATACTAAACTTAACTAGACAACTAAATCCATATAAGTTCTTTAAGTTACCCAAAGCCATATAAAATAAAAATAGGACACTTATCTTTGGGATCAGTCCCTGCTGAATTAGCAAAGGTTCATCTTCTTTCGGGCCATCTATGAAGAATCGCTGAATACATTTCAGCAACAGTGACACAGACTGAAATTCATTTTTATCTAGTTCCTAGGTATAAACCACACTAAATTAAAACACTTATAAATAATTATACATTCATATTTTGGTCACAAAGCAAACCAACTTGCCTTATTTATTAATCTGTTAAGACGGTGTAATAGAAGATGATTATATTTTTGAGGACAGTGGCTCTCTTTCTGTTGAAAGTATTCTTTTATTTTCTGAAATCCTTTATCATGGAATGCATTCATAATAAGTGACTGAAGCTGGAAAGATGATAGTTTGCAAATTACTTTTTCCCTAAAAACATTTATTTTATAGTAATATTTCTAACTGATATCATTATCAATAAGAATTCAGTGTGAAATAATATAGGGTAAACATAGAATGGAGATCTCTATGTTGAATAGTAAACAATCATTTCACAAATGATTGATGTTTCTGTTGGCTTAAGACAAGAGTTCCCAAAATGTGGCTCCTAGACCACCAGCAGCGTTGGCATCACCTGGGGAATTCTTCGCACTCAGACTCAGGGCAGAGCCCTTCATGTGATTCTCGTGCATGCTGAAGTCTGGGAACCACTGACCCAAGGAAAACAACACTTGAGTTTCAGGTATCATGGGATGAAGACCCTCTGCAATGTTGGGAATTCTAAAACACTAAAAATTCAAGCCTATGATCACTCACTAAGTGACATAAATGATCATAATAGAAGGAAGAAAAATAATACTAATAATTATAGATAAGTATGCAAATTGACCATAATGAATGAAATTCATCTTTTCTGCCTGCACATTAGCTAAGACATGCTTCTAAGTACATATACTTAAAGGGCCGGGCGCAGTGGCATACACCTGTAATCCCAGCACTTTGGGAGGCCAAGGCAGGCGGATCACCTGAGGTCAGGAGTTCGAGACCAGCCTGACCAACATGGAGCAACTCCGTCTCTACTAAAAATACAAAATTAGCCAGACATGGCGGTGCATGCCTGTAATCCCAGCTACTTGGGAGGCTGAGGCAGGAGAATGCTTGAACCTGGGATGGAGGTTGCAGTGAGTCGAGATCGCACCATTGCACTCCAGCCTGTGCAACAAGAGCAAAACTCTGTCTCAAAAAAAAAAAAGTGCATATACCTGAATAACAGACATTTCCTTAAACATTTAAACTATAAAAGATTTTTGATCTTTAAAAATAAAACAATACTATTTTAATAAGGAAGCAATTTACTATCTACAGCCTAAAATTCCACTTATTCTTAGTACTGAATTAAAAGGGAAAACAGCATTTAAAATTATTCCATTTAAACGGAATGTTTTCTTTTTTCAGTCAACACATAGTGAGTTTTTTTGTGCCAAGTGTGTTAAGTGTTCTGCAGATGTTATTATTTAATCCTCGCCTCGGTCCTGAGAGGTTAGGTTCTTTATCTCAGGATAGAAGTAGCAAGGATAAGAAAGGTTACAAACTTATGTGAGATCACTCAGCTGAAATTTACTCCCTTTTACCTGCTTAAAACTCTGCCATTGCCAGGCGCGGGGCTCACGCCCATAATCCCAGCACTTTAGGAGGCCAAGGCAAGAGGATCGCTTAAGCCCAGAAGTTTGATATCAGCCTGGGCAATATATTGAGACTCAATCTCTACAAAAAATGAAAAACTAGTCAGGTGTGGTGGTTCATGCCTGTAGTCACAGCTACTCAGAAGGCGAGGCAGGAGGATCACTTGAGCCCAGGAGGTCAAGGCTGCAGTGAGCCATGATTATACCACTGCACTCCACCCGGGGTGACAGAGTGAGATCCTGTTAAAACAGAACAAAACTTTGCCATGGCTTCCTCTGCATTCAGAACAAATCCAAGTCCTTTGCTTTAGTCCACAGAACGTGGCATGATCTGATCTCTGACAGTCTGACACTACCCTGCTAATGAGTCCTAGGATAAGTCAAGCTCTTACCTTGGGGCCTTTGACCTGGCTGTTCAAGGCCTGGGCTACTTCACACCACCACTTTCCACATGGCTGGCTCCACTCAGACCACAGCTTAAGCATAACTTTTTCAGGTAGATCTTCCAGGGCCACCTTAAGTAGACCAGGTGTCTCCTCAACACTCCCAATCATTCCCCATCTCAATACCCTGTTGTTTTTCTTCCTGCTTTCTTTGGCTCTCTGCCAGTCTATAAGCTCCATAAAGGCAGAAGTTGTATCTAGTTTGTTCAGTACTATCTATCTACATCTAGAATAGCACAGGATACAAGATAGTTTAGACTAGGATATTGGTAGGATAGCTAACAGTAAATTGACTAGATATAGTAATAAATTGGACATGAGAGATTAGGGAAGGAGAAAAATAAAGATTTCTCTGCTTCTGATTTGAGCAACTGGAGGAACAATCTTGCTAATGACCCAGGGAACACAGAACTAGAAATACATACACTTACACACACATACACACACAGACACAGACACACACACATTATAAAAGAAACTTGATCTTTACCCAGAAAGCATCATTCTGGGCCTTCCCAGTCCTATCTTCCTTAATAGGCTGCAAAGGATCTTTGTTTTTCTGTGTGGAATAAAAATATGTTTTTAAAACAATTTTTATTTCAAAGAGATGCATTTCAAGTTTTAAACATAAAGCAAAAATAAATAAATAAATAAATAAAGGTTTGTATTGTTTTCCTGAACAGAAATTTTTGTTTGCTCGTATTATCGGTCTAAGTAAAACAGTACTTGGAAAAAAAAAAAACCTTTATCCAACCTTCTTTAGCATGGTCTATGACAAATACAATACAAACTATCAGAAGAAGCAAAGCAAACATCATTTGAATAAATAATCATACAAAACAAACTCTATAATGATGATTATAAAGTAGAAGTAAAAGGTTTTGAACTAATAAACCATTTTCAGAATGAGAGCTTGTAAAATAAAGTTAAATAAAAGTGTCTTGGAGGCATCATAGTACCTGACTTCAAAATATACTACAAAGTTATAGGAACAAAATAGCATGGTACTGGCATAAAAACAGACACATACATAGACCAGTGGAACAGAATAGATAAACCCAAAATAAATCTACTTCTTTATAGCCAACTGATTTTTGACAAAGGTGTCAAGAACGTTCATGGGGAAAAGATAGTCTCTTCAATAACTGGTGCTGGGAAAACTGGATATTTATATGTGGAAGAATGAAACCAGATCCCATGTCTCACCATATACAAAAATCAACTCAAAATAAACTAAAAACTTACACTTAAGATCCCAAACTATGAAACTACCAGAAGAAAATATAGGGGAAACACTTTAGGACACTGGTCTGGGCAAAGATTTTATGGAGAAGACCTCAAAATCACAGGCAATGAAAGCAAAAATAGACAAATGAAATTATACAGACCAAAAAGCTTCTTACAGAAAGGGAAATAATAGAGTGAAGAGACAACCAGCAGAATGGGAGAATGTATTTGCAAACTATGCATCCAACAAGCCATTAATATCCAGAATATACAGGGAACTCAAACACCTCAACAGCAAAATAACCAATCCAATTAAAAACGGGTAAATAAGCTAAATAGACATCTCTCCAATGAAGACATACAAATGACCAACAAGTATATGAAAAAATACGCAACATCACTAATCATTGGAAAATGCAAATCAAAACCAAAATGAGATATTATCTTACCCCAGTTAGAATGGCCATTATCAAGACAAAAAACAACAAATGAGGGCAAGGATATGGAAAAAGAGGAACTCTTGTACACTGTTGGTAGGAATATAAATTAGTATAGACAATATGGAAAACAGCATGGAGGTTCCTCAAAAAACTAAAGCCAGAACTATCATAAATCCAGCAATCCTACTCCTACAGATATATCCAAAATAAAAGAAATCAGTATGTCAAAGGCATATCTGCACTCCCATGTTTATTGCAGCACTATTCATAACAGCCAAGATATGGAATCAACCTAAGTGTCCATCAGCAGATGAATGGATAAAGAAAATGTGATATATTCACGCAGTGGAATACTTTTCAGCCAGAAAAAAAGAATAAAATCCTGTCATTCATGGTAACATGCATGAGCCTGGAGGACATTATGCTAAGTGAAATAAGCAGGGCACAGACAGACACACTGCATGTTCTTGATCACATGTAGAGGCTAAAAAGCTGATCTTGGCCAGGTGTGGTGGCTCATGCCTGTAATCCCAGCACTTTGGGTGGTCGAGGTGGGTGGATCACCTGAGATCAGGAGTTTGAGACCAGCCTGACCAACATGACGAAACCCCGTCTGTACTAAAAATACAAAATTATCCGGGCATGGTGGCACATGCCTGTAATCCCAGCTACTGGGGAGGCTGAGGCAAGAGAATCGTTTGAACCCGGGAGGCAGAGGTTGCAATGAGCTGAGGTCACACCATTGCACTCCAGCTGAGGAAGCAAGAGCAAAACTCCATCTCAAAAAAAAAGAAAAAAAAAGAAAAAAAAAAAAAGCTGATCTCATAGAAGTAGAGAATAGAATAGTGGTCACTAGAAAAGGGGAAGGGTGAGATAGGCAGAGGTTAGTTAATGGACACAAAATTACGTCTAGCTGGAAGAAGGAGTAAGTTCTAGAGTACGATAGCACTGTAGGGTGACTATAATGAACAACTTACTGTATATTTTCAAATAGCTAGACAAGTAGACTTTGAACATTCCCAACACAAAGAAATAAATGTTTGAGGTGATGGATATGCATAATTACTCTAATTTGATCATTACACATTGTATACACATATGGAAGTATCACACTACACCTATTAACATGTACAATTATTATGTGTCAATTAATATATGTGTCAATTAAAAATAAATGATAAAGGCAAAGAAAAAGAACCATGTGTTAGTAGATAATTGAGTAGAGGCAAAAGTGAGATAGAAGGAACAGCTAAAGCTACAATTAATATTGGATGTTAGGCCAGGCGCAGTGACTCATGCCTGTAATCCCAGCACTTTGGGAGGCCGAGGCGGGTGGATCACGAGGTCAGTTCGAGACCAGCCTGTCCAATATGGTGAAACCCCGTCTCTACTAAACACACAAAAAATTAGCCGGGTGTGGTGGCAGGCCCCTGTAGTCCCAGCTACTCAGGAGGCTGAGGCAGGAGAATGGCGTGAACCTGGGAAGTGAAGCTTACAGTGAGCTGAGATCATGCCACTGCACTCCAGCCTGGGCGACAGAGCAAGACTCCATCTCAAAAAGAAAAAAAAAAAGACAAAAATTAGCCTGGCATGATGGTGCGAGAC